GGCTCAGCTCTGGCTTTTTGTGCCCATTTGGAGAGTAAACCAGGGATGGAAGATATTTCTCTCTCTTTCTCTCTCCTTCTCTCATTTAATCTCCTTAAAAGAGAAAGAAAAGAAATGAAATGAGAGGAGAGGAAATGGGGGAAGGGGAGGAGAAGAGGAAAGCAGAGCAAAAGGGAGGAGAGGAGAGGAAAGTGGAGGAGAAGAGAGAGCAAGAAAGAAAGAGAGAGAGAGGGAGAGGGGGATGGAGGGAAGGAAAGGAGGAAGAAGGAAAGGATGGAAGGAAGGGAAAAAGGGAGGGAGGGATAAAGGAAGGGAGGGAGGGAGGGAAAGAAGACCAAATACATCTAAGAAAAACCAGGACACTATACAGAAATTTTGAGATGGATGATTTCCCCACTTGGATGCTTGATGTCTTCACAAACTGCTGCTGCATCAAGACAGAGATGTCACAGAGGGAAATTAAATGACTTTGAAAGGCCACTCATGCTAGAATCTATTGTCTTATTTTCCAAGTTTGAGTCATTTATCCTTTCAATCATCCAGAATTAAATGGATTTTCTAAGGTTGACACACTACAAACAAGATTTACAAAGGATCAATTCATGCTAAAGCGAAGATTAATAAAATTTACTAGGATATTCTTCGGAGAGCATTAGACATGAGGCCACTTTTTGTTACGGCGGGTTAAGCTGCCATCTGTAGTGCCAGTATACCATGTGGATGCTGGTTTGAGTCTTGGCTGCTCCATTTCTAATCCAACTCCCTGCTTATGGCCTGGGAAAGCAGTGTAGAATGACCCAAGTCCTTGTGCCTTGGCATCTATATGAGAGACCTAGAAGAAGCTCCTGGCTCCTGGCTTTTATCTGGCCAGGCTCCGGCTTTGGGGAAGTGAACCAGCAAATGGAAGATTCTCTCTGTGTAACTCTGCCTTTCAAATAAATAAAATGAATATTTTTAAATGTTAACTAGTAAAATATATCTTTAAATAAAACTATCTCTCTCTGTGTATGTGCATTTAGTCAGTTTTGTTCATTTTAACATTCAAATCTATAGTCTAAGCTTTTGCCTACTTTTCCACCAACTAATTAGATTAAATATGTAAATTTTTTTGCTCTAATTGTGTACTTCTATCCCCTTTGAGGCCTGTGGATTTTTGTTTCATGCATTTTGAATTATTTAAAATCTATTCCTGGTTAATTAAATCTGTTATCACTATTAAGACCCTTTTTCTTTTTTCAAATTATTTCTTTTCATTCACCTGAAAGGCAGAAACAGAGAGAAAGACAGAGAGAGAGAGAGAGAGAATGAATCTTTCGCTGGCTGATTCATTCCCCAAATGCCTGTAATAGCCAGGGCTGGGCCAGGACAAAGCCAGAAGCCCAGAATTCCATCCAAGTTTCCCAAGTGGGTGGCAAGGACACAAGCAGTTGAGCCATCATCTGTTATTTCCAAGGATGTATTAACAGGAAGTTGGATTGGAAGTGAGTAGCTTGTCTTTTAAAGAACTTTTGAAGCCTGTTGTATTTGCATAGTATATCATATCCTCCACTGCTTTCCCAAGCCATAAGCATACAGCTGGATTGGAAGTGGAGCAGGCAGGACACGAACTGGTGTCCATAAGGGATGCTGACACTGGCAGGGAGAGTATTAGTTTGCTATTTCCATGGTACCAGCCCCTGAAACTTTATTTCTTAAGTGATTTTGTTTTTAATTATTTTATATCTAAAGAAAAGTTGCAAGACAGCACAGCAGACTATGCCCTTTGCCTAGTTTTATCTAATCTTGTTCTGTGTGTGCATAAAATACAGAGTGATAGAGAGCTTCCAACTGCTAGTCGCTCCCCAAATGCACCAATTGTCAAGGTTTGGCCAAGCCAAAGCCAGGATCCAGAAACTCCATCCAGATTTCTCATGGGAGGAGTAGAGACTCAAATACTTGAGCTGTCTGTTACCTTCTAACTCCACTAGTAAGGAAGCTGGATTAGAAACAAAGACAAAACTTCACCCAAGACACACCAGCACGGGATATAGGCATCCCACGTGGTGGCTTAACCTGATGCACCAAAATACCCCTCCCCTCACCAACACTTTATTGAATCTTACATTTTATAAAACTTTGGTACGTTGATCAGAACTATGAGGTTGACATTAATATATTTATTAGTAAATGAACTCCAGACTTCATTTGGATCTCATTTGTTTTCTCTCTAATTCCCCTTTTGTGTCCACAACCTAACTCAAGATATTATATTGCATTTCATCTTTTTTTAAATTTCCATGGCCTTAACAATTTTGAGGCTTCCTGGGATGATGTTTTGTTAATATCCCTAAATTGGGCTTCTGTGATATTTTCTTTATGCTTGTTTGAGGTGATATGTGTTTGGGGACAAATACTTATAGAGGCTGCATCTCTTCTTATTACAATATGCCAGGAACTACATAGTGTCAACTCATTGAAATGTTAATTACTTACTTAGGGTAGGTCTTGCCAGGGAACTTATATTTTTCCTCTTTCTGTACTTTATTCTTTGAAAATGAGCCCTTGAATCCAACCCACATTGGAGGTGTCAGGTGATTAAGCTCTATCTCCCAAATGAGTATTACATATCTTACTTGTAATTCTTGTGTTCAGAAAACTTATCCCCCGCCCCCCCACTGCTTTGCTTATTTGACCATTTATTTATATTGGTAAAACTCAGGTATGTCTGCTTTGTACTTTGTGTTATAGTCCAATATCATATTATTTCTTTTGTTGTTCAGTTGTCCAACTTTGGCCATTATAAGCTCTTTCATTTGGTTCCCTTTGACACACTCCCATCCTTGAATTTTTTTTTTAATGATTTCTCACTTTCTGGCACTTTGAAGATGCTCCAGAAATCCTTGTTCTGCTCTCACTCCACAGCAGCTAATCACTAATTTAATTGTGGCTTTGATAATTCTGATATGTCATTGATTTAATTGCACCAAAGTTGAGGAAATCCTTCCAAGGTCCATTGGGGGTCTCTACTTGTCCAGATACTCACTGTCAAAGCTTGGCCAGGACAGCTGTCCAATTTGTTCCACCCTCCATGGTACTAGACGTCCTCTGACCCCTCAATGGATTGGTTGTCGTGGCCCTCATGTGCTTATGTGTATGCTGTCTGCTGACCAGGCTTCAACAACCAAGGAGACCCAGTTCTGACACATGCACTCCACAGTCACACCACAGATCCTGTGATTTTCCCCGTGGTTGGAGTTGAGTCCAGTGGTGCACTTTGGGGAGTCCCCAAATAAACCTCATCAGAGGTGAGCTCAGAACCAACTCCTGCATGTGCCAGCTGGTGTAAGGTCTGGCTTAGTTCATCACCCACATCAGCCTACACACATTGGTGGTTGCAGTTGTCTAGTCATTCTGTCCCCAAACCCATCTCATATGCAAATCAACAGATGCTGCAGCCCAGTCTAACCCTAACCACCACACACTCGGCCTTCATGCACACCAGTGGGAACTGTAGCCTAGCCAGAGTGACCCCCAGCTACCCCCACCAGGCTCACCCCTAGCCCTGGTTCCTGCACATGCTGGTGTGTGCAGCAGACTTGTCCAGTCTGCCCTATATCCTATTTGGTTTCCATACACATCAAGTGATGATGGAGCCTAGCTCAAGGCTGAGCATTTTTATATAACCCCTGGATATCATATCCAATTACATAAGAACTGAACTCCTTTGACATCTTACCATTCAATCACTCTTATTCAGTGTTCCCCAACACCTCGCACTGGGAGAAATCTGACCCTAAGCCACATCCCATTTACAGGTGCAAATGAGCTTCCATCATTAGCAGGATCAAGAAATTCTCTGACCAGGCTATAAAAAAAAAACTGAATCTCCTCTCAGACTTGACCCTGGCTCCTGATACCCAGATGTGAGATAAATCTACCCAATGAAGCTTAATGGAGAGAGTTGTGGAGAAAGAGAAGCAGAAGTCCTTGCCAGAAATTTTCCTAAGTGTAGCCATGCCAAGCTGTAGCGTTAGGAAGAGATGTTTGAGAAGGGTAGGACACAAAGGGGTGACTCTCAGAAGGCACTGTGACAGTTGTGCTTGGGAATGGGTAGTTGGTGAAAGATCTAAGGTAGCAATGGAAAGATGCAGAATAGGAAAATGCAAGTTAGAAAGAGGTTAGAGGCCTCAGATGTGTAGAGGCAGTCTTATGGCCACCTTTTGACCATCCCATAAAACCAAATCTGGTTCCTTAGCAGCCACCCTTCTACCTGAAAGTTCCAGTGGTCTTTTTACAGGTTTTATTGCAGTGTTCCTGAGTGTCTGTTACCTGAATATTTCTCAGGCACAAGGGGGAGCTAGTTCTCCGCTATCTGATCCACACATCACTTGGTACTGAAGAACAGCCGGGGTCTGGGATTGGACTGGAGTTGCTAGTGTTTGTTGACTCCTATCAGCAAAGGGTACTCAACACCCTTAGAATTTTTTGTGTTCCTCCTGCAAACATGGGGCAGGGGAGCCAAGTCTCACTTTTTAACTTCATGTGTGAATGTAGAATTCATTCTAACGAGAAGGATCCTGTCATTTCTACCAAGATTGCCTTTCTCTGGGTCCCCTGAGTTGGGAAGTATCTTAAAATCCCCACCTGTTCTTGTGTGCATCTATCTGTGTGAGAATGGAGTGTGTGCCTGGGCCTGTGTGTTAGAGAAATGGTGGGGTCAAAGAAAGGGGGATGGGAGAGGAATTTAAAAATACACTGTGTGGATCAACCCATGCCACCCATCCTTTCTATAACTGGTCTTGAAAGGTTAACTTTCCAAAATAAGACATTTGATTTTATTTTTGATATCAGAATAAGCCAGTAAACATAGAAAACATTGGATCAAGGACAAGAACTTCCCTTCAATGTAGGCAGACTCTTCCTTCCCATGATGGGCTGCAGGTGCCTAGAAAGCTTGGCTTCCCCTCCCATCACATGTGCTGCTGGCACAAGTCCTCTCGGACCCCCTTCACACACCCGGGTCACTGTGTGGTTGGTTCTGGAGTCTGCAGTGGGTCCACGCTGCGCTTCCGACCCAGCCGGGTGAGGGCGCTCCGAAGAGCCTCACAGAGGCTGCAGCCAGGTGCACCTGAGCCTCAGAGGTTGAACACCGGAAGAGGAGGCTCAGCAATGCAACCGGGATCACCTGTGGGAAAGAAACAGGGCGAGGTCATCTGAAGAACCCTGGAGTAATTGGAACGTTCAGAAAATCAGGAGCCACCAGGGTGGATGCCAGAGTTGAAAGACATGAAATCAAGACAGTGTGGCAGAGCTAGTTAAGCTGCTGCCTACACCATCAGCATCCAGTATGAGCACTGGTCTTTGACCTGGCTGCTTCACTTCTAAACAAGCTCCCTGCAGAGTGTCTGCAAAAGCAGCAGGTGCATGGTCTTCTCCACTCTCGTGGGACACGCAGATGAAGCTCCTGGCTCCTGGCTTCAGCCTGGTTTAACCCTGTCAATTGCACCCATTTGGGGAGTAAACAAACCAACAGATGAAAATCTCTCTTTCCCTCTGGTTTCCCTTCTCTTCCAATAACTCTGTCTTTCCAATAAATTCATAAATATTTAAATAATAATAAATTAAAATATTAAAATATTTATATTATCTATGTAAGTAATACTAATAAAAAGACCAGAAAGCGGTAATACAGTTGGTCAACAGCAAAGAACTCAAAAACTCCTATTCTTCCTTAAATATCTAGTTCAAAGCACTCCCACCCTCTTTTTTCATGGCTTCTTAGGCAGAGAAGAAGATGCCTTCTCTGTGTGTGTCTGTAGTAACTTTCACAAATCTATGACTGTCAGTCACAGTGACATAAAGGAAGAGCTCCAGGGGCCCGGCGCGGTGGCGCAAGTGGTTAAGGTCCTCGCCTTGCACGCCCGGGATCCCATATGGGCGCCGGTTCTATCCCAGCAGCCCCACTTCCCTTCCAGCTTCCTGCCTGTGGCCCGGGAAAGCAGTCGAGGATGGCCCAAGGCTTTGGGACCCTGCACCCGCGTGGGAGACCTCGGAAGAGGCTCCTGGCTTCGGACCGGCATAGCATCAGGGTTGTGCTCACTTAGGGAGTGACTCATCGGACGGAAGATCCTCCTCTCTGTCTCTCCTCTCTGTATATCTGCCTTTCCAATAAAAAAATAATAAAAATAAATCTTTTTTAAAAAAAGGAAGAGCTCCAGGTGGACAGAATATTACTGAGCTTTGTAAACCCAGTGTCAAGCAAAGCTCCAGACACATTGGGAGTACTCAGTAAGTGTGCAATGACTCTGCCATGGGCAGGATACCTGATCCTTGCAGTGTGAAACCTGGATGTGACGGGAGATGGGAGCAGCCCAAATATCATCCGACAGCAGCTGGAGCAAGTGAATTGCTTGGAGGAGGTTTTCAATGCATCAAGCCTTGGATTGTCCAGAGAACCTCTGTAAAAGAAGTAGGAAGGTCGGATGAGACAGTCAAGAGAATTCAGAATTAGGTCAAAGAAGAAGTGGGAAGGCGCAAGGCTGGGATCCTCCAGAAGGAATGGGTGGTCCCATTATCCCCAAGGATGGGGAGAACTGTGTTGAAATAGTAGGTGACAGTCCTCAGCTGGTTGGATTGAACTGGAGAACTCACAGGAGACTGGAAAAATTCTCAGCTGTGTCCCACCAATTTCATAGGTTGGTAATCTTCAAGTGAACCAACTCCCTCCAGCTTCCTCTCTAATCAAACCCATCAGCAACTGCTCTCAGGATTGTTCAACTGCAGACACTGCTTCCTTTTGGTCAATACCTGTCCCTTAGCTAGTTCTGCACCGGCCCATAGAAATGTAATCCAAGCCAATACGTAATTTTAAATTTTCTAAATACTTAAATACTAGGTTCATTCAAAAAGAAATGGGGGGCCAGCACCACAGTTTAGAATGGTAATCTTCTGGCTACAGCATCAACATGCTATATGGATGCTGGTTTGAGTCCTGGTTGCTCCATTTCTGATTCAGCTCCCTTCTGATGGCCTGGTACAGCAGTGGAGGATAGCCCAAGTGCTTGGGCCCCTGTAGCCACACGGTAGACTAGGATAAAGGGTCTAGTTCCTGGCTTTGGGCTGGCCAGCTCTGACTGTTGCAACCATTTGGGGAGTGAACTAATGGATGGGAGATCTGTCTATCTCTCCCTTTGTGTGTGTAATTTCAAACATACAGGCATACAAACATACCTAAGTCTTTTTTTTTATTAAAAAAGATTTACTTAATTTTTTTATTGGAAAGTCAAATGTACAGAGAGAAGGAGAGAAGAGAGGAAGATCTTCCATCCGCTGTTGAGCTGATCCAAAATCAGGATTCAGGAGCCTCCACCGGGTCTCCCAAATGGGTACAGGGTTATAAGGTCTTGGGCCATCCTCAGGAGCTGAATGGAAAGTGGGGCTATTGGGACATGAACTAGAGCCCATATGGGATCCTGGTGCATGCAAGATGAAGACTTTAGCTGCTAGGCTACTATACCAGGCCCATACTTTTTTTTTTTAAAGAAAGTAATCGGACATAGGAATCTGACGTAGCAGTTAAGATGTAGCTTGGCATGGCTATATACCATGTTGGAGTTTCTGAGTTTGAGTCTTCAGCCTCTGCTTCTAGCTTCCTGTTAAAGTGCATCCTGGGAAGCAGTAGATGATGCCTCAAGTACTTGGGTCCCTGACACCCACTAGTAGAGCTGCATTGAATTCCTGGCTCCAGGCTTCAGCCTGACCCTATCCTGGCTGTTAGAGGCAGTCAACAGAGGTAAGATTTTTGTCTCTCTCTCTTTTAAACAAAATGAAAATAAAAAATGTTTAAAGAAGTAGAAAAAATGCATTTTAATAATGTTATATAGTACAATATATAATACGTTTTTTAACGTGTTAGCAATATTAAAAATTATGACATATTAAAATGTTTGCAACAAGTATTTGTTGTCTGCTGTGTATTTTACAATTGTAGCATATAGTGATTTGGGTGCTCAAATTAAAAGGTGAAATGTAGGGCCTGGCACAGTAGCCTAGCAGCTAATGTCCTCACCTTGCACATGTCCGAATTTCATATGGGCACCAGTTTTTTTTTTAAGATTTATTTATTTTTATTGGAAAGGCAGATTTACAGAGAGGAGGAGAGACAGAGAGAAAGATCTTCCATTATGCTGGTTCATTTCCCAAGTAGCTGCAATGGCCATAGCTGAGCCAATACAAAGCCAGGAGCCAGGAGCTTCTTCCTGGTCTCCCATGCAGGTGTAGGGTCCCAAGACTTTGGGCCATCCTCGACTGCCTTCCCAGGCCACAGACAGGGAGCTGAATGGGAAGTGGGACTGCTGGGGTTAGAACTGGCACCCATGGGCCCCTCACGACAGCATAGCTGTTAAAGTCCTTGACTTGAATGCACTGCGATCCCATATGGGCGCTGGTTCTAATCCCAGCAGCTCTGCTTCCCATTCAGCTCCCTGCCTGTGGCCTGGGAAAGCAGTTGAGGATAGCCTGAAGCCTTGAGGCCCTGCATCTACGTGGAAGACCAGGAAGAAACTCCTGGCTTCTAATCGGCTCATCTCTGGCTGTTGTGGTCACTTAGGGAGTGAAATCAATGGACGGAAGATCTTCCTCTTAGTCTCTCCTCTCTGTAAATCTGATTTTCCAATAAGACTAAATCTTTAAAAAAAATTTTTTTAAGTGAAATGTTATGCTACCAAAATATGTTATGCTACCAAAATAATAAAGTTGAATTTAATTAGAAAAAAAAAAAACTACTTCAATTGTTAAGAAAAACTAACACGTCAGTTCTCCAGTCACACTAGCCACATCTTGATTGCTGGGTAACTGCATGTGGCTGGTAGCTGTGGTTGTGGAAAGCATACGTAAGTCCAGGTTCCTGTCCGGCTCCCACCTCTACATTCTCTCCCCTTCTTGTTGCCTCCTACTCCCTCATATCTCTGGAAAGACTTTGCACTTGAGTCAGATATGTGTCTCTACGTGTTGTGCTTAGTCCCCTGCTGAGCCTTGGGATTCTTAGAGGAAAGTCCTGCAGTCCTCATCTAGCCAAGCCCTAACCACCAGGCAAGCTCAAGCATCACCTTTCCTGTGGAGCCTTCGGCACACCTGCAAACTCCACCTCCTTCGTAGTCCCTCTGGACTTCAGGAATGACCACAGGTTGCCTTAGAGACATGGTGGTGCTTCCTAGCTGTGCATGGATTGATTCTTTTCTCCAGATTCAGCACAAGGTCCACAGGCTATCCAGTTACATTTGAATTTTAGATTAATAATGAAAAAAATTCATATATGTGCCAAATGTTGCATGGGACATACTTAACGCTAAAAACTCTTCCTTATTTATCTGAAATTCACATTTAACTGGATGTCCTGCATTTTTTTTTCTTTGCTATATCTGGCAACTATACTTTTCATGGCCATCTGTCATGCTATGTGCTCAGCATCTGTTCCTCCTCCTCTGGCATCAGCACCTTGATTTTCCTCTGGAACCATTGCTCAGGCCATGATGTTGAGGCTCACCTCCCACCCCTCCCTGCACCACCACTGAAAGCACATGGACACTCTAGATTGAATGCACCATTGGTTCAGGGACGTGCATGTGACCCAAACCAAACCAGTGAGAGCCCTTCCTCGGGCATTTTTGAGAATTGTGTAGATAGATAAATTCTCTCCGCTAAGACTGCTAGATGTCAGGCTTGCACTAATGGTGGACAATGTCCCAACTAATGGAGAAAAACTGCCTGAGAATGAGCATAGCACAAAGGAAGGTGGCACTAAGACCTAAAGGTTGTGGAGCTTTTCTCTGGAGTGTCTGGATCTGAGACCGTTGAGTTACACAGGCAGCCACTTGCCTTGGTTAACTTAAGCCAGTAGGAACTTGGTTTGTGTCACATATTTATAACTGGAAGGATCTTGCCTATTATAGCTTCATAAGCATGCCTTAGGAGAAAAGATGTACCTAATAGAAGAATACTATTTTTTTTTCTCAGCAGAAAAGCCAGCCCTTATCCTTACACATCTCCATAGCTCTGCAAAGCACCTTTCTATGCCAACCTGGGCACTGAGGCCAGACTACCCCATCCCTCCATGTCATGTCCTTACCTGCAGCATGGTCAGTGCCTGCCACAAGAGCTTGGAGTTGCTGATGCGAGTTTCCAACATGAGATTTTGTAGGATCTTCCCAAGAAGCACGTGGGCTCCTGTGCTCACTGTATTCAACACCCATTTGGTGCTTAACTCACGCTGGAAACTTCTAAAAAGGGAAGGTACAAGAGTATGGACAATAAGAGGAGATGGAAAGAGCAGGTTGGACAGGGTCCTGTTGTATCACAGGAAATCAACAGTTGAAAACAAGGGACCAAAATGTAGACATAATTTGCTTGAACAAACTAGGGTTTAAAGGTTAGGTCGACAAATGTAAGCTAGAACTGATCCATGCAAACCTGGAGGTTTCACTCATTTATGTGCATGTTAGGTTTTTTAATTGCTTATTTGTTTACTTAATTAATTTCTCATTTAATTAGAAAGGCAGAGAGACAGAGAGGGTTCCCATTCCCTGGCTCATTCTCCCAAACGCTTGAACAGCCAGGGCTGGACCTGGCTGAATCTAGGAGCCAGAGCTCAGTCCAGATCTCCCACATGGGGCGTCAAGGACTCGAGTACTTGAACCATCCCCCATTGCCTCCTGGGGTGTACATTAGCAGATAGCTGGAATGCAGATGATAGTTGGGACTCCAAGCTAGGGGTTGCAATAGAAGATGCAGTCATTCCCAGGCTATGGCTTAAACCCTGTAACAAACATCCAAGCCCTGCCTCCCTGCCCCAGCTGTGTTTTAACCTCAGTGGAGACAGACATTTTCTTTGAGCCCTTACATAGTAGGACTTTCCTCTTGCCAAAACTTTACTCTTGCTATCCAGGTACCAGATATAAGGAATAGAAATCCTGAAGGAAGAGATGATGTCTGATTGTACTCCAGATCTGCAGTCCTTGAACTGACACACATGTTCCTCTTGATCCTTGCAAAAATACTGTGGAATAGGTTGTTCTATCCCCGTTCCTGTATAAAGAAGAAATTAGAGGCCAGAAACAGATGAACTTGGATAAGTTCACATGATAAAGAGCTAAACCTCAGCCTTTGGATTCCATGGTGAGGGTATTTCCTGGTCTGTCTCACTCACCTTCTGGAGGAACCTGAGAACAAATGGGAAAGCACATTGAAAACCAAGACCCATGCGAACACACAGTTCTGCGAGTATAACTGCCACTTGTCCCTGTCTCTCCCACTTTTTGGTGCTTGGAACTTCTATTACCACACTTGCAGGGCAACAGGGGTTTGGTAAACATGCTGAGGAGATTAAGTACAGGGTCCCAGGCAGGCTTTAGAAACAGACTACTGCTACTTTTACCCCTTATTCTGAAACCACTGAGGCAGCCAGTCGCCCAAACTCCTGGAGGATGGCATATGGAAAATATTTAAGATTTTTTTCATAATATGCATCCTCCATTACTTTTTTGAGAGATGCCTTATATTTACCCTTTAATTCCACTCTGGTACTTGTAGGAGTTTACCCTGGAGTTACACTTCTATCATTACAAAAAGGCATGCAAACTGTATAACAGCAAAATTTTGGAAACAAACTAAATACCCTACATAGTGGATGGCCCTAGTAGACCACTGTAGCATGTAGAAAACATCTAGAGGTTTAAAAAATGAGGAAGAGTTCTACAAAGCAAAATAATGATTTTCAGGATCTCTTGTTAAAACACAAGAATTTATTACACTGCCTAATAGATAAGAAGGAAATGCAATGTAGATACATGTGCACAGATACTTTCTTCTTTTGTAAAAAGAAACACAGGAAGATAAACCAGTAACTAATGAAAGTGGTTACCTACTGGCATACGTGGAAATGGGACAGAGCAGTGAGGAAGGGGGAAGGAACTGGATTATTGCATTTCTATGTAGTTTTTGAACAGTTTTAACTTTCAAGCAATTTATGCTTTACATCTCAAAGATAACATTAAGAGCAGGCATTTAGCCTAGGAATGTAGAAGCTGGTGAAGATACCCACATCCCACATCAGACCATGTGGGTTCAATACCCAGATCTGACTCTTGCTTCCATCTTCCTGCTACTCTAGGCCCTGGGAGGTAGTGACGAAGGCTCAGGTAATTCTGTCACCTCTGCAGGAGACCTGAACTTCAGCCTAACACAGTGTCAACCTTTGTGAGTGAATGAACAAATGAGAATTCCCTCTCCTCTCTCTCTCTTTCTGGCTCAGGAAAGAAAGAGGGGAAGAAGGAATAAAAACTTGAGAACATTCTAATACTGAAACAAATAAAACCCAATGAATCCAGGTCCCTGCATTGTAACCCTGTGCATTAAGCAACTGCTTGCAAAGTTGGCATTTCATATTGGGACACCAGCTCAAGTCCTGGCTGCTTGACTTCCAATCCAGGGTCCTGCTAATGTGCCTGGGAAGGCACTGGAAGATGGATCAAGAGTCCTTGTCATCCATGTGGGAGAGAGACCTGGATGGCACTCTGGGCTTCTGGCTTCAGCCTGCACCAATCATTTGAAGAGTGAACCAACAGATGGAAGATGTGTCTTTCCTCTCTCTATCATTCTGCTTTAAAATAGAACTAAAAGTTTTAAAAAGAAAACATTGAACCTAACTGTACATCACATTAATAACATAAATACAAAGTGGGAAGAAGCAGTCCAAATGGCTTGCGAACATTTTACTCTGGTTAGATATCTTTAGTAGGACATGATCCTTGAACAAAAAGAATTGCAAAGAAATCTTGAGAAATTTTGAAGTTTGCAGGTGACAGGTAGGATTAGAATAATTCTACAACTTTTTGGTGGGGATTTTAGAACTGAATAAATATGTTGATAATTTTGGGAATCAATATTCTTGCCAAAGGAAAAAGAGTAAAAAGGATAAAAATACATATGCATGTGTATATGTTCTTATTTTTAGTGTGTACACACACACACACACACACACACACCCTTATTCTTTCTGCTGAAAGGGATTAGAGGCAAAGATATACCAGCAGCAGTGTGAAACACCTAGCATCTAGGTCTCTAAATAACAGAATCCAGCAAGAACAAAGAGTCCTCAGAAAGATGGTTGCGTCTAGGGCTGCACCAGAGAAAGGACAACGGAGCCTGTGACAATAGATTTGTGATCCTGCATACAATATCAACGGGTGGAATACTATATATAAAGACACAACCATGTAAATAATAAGGAGATCAGTAAGCTGCAGTGGCAAGATGTCCCCTCCCCCCCAAAAAAAGCATAGCAGAGTATTAAAATATTTATGTGAATATGTCACAAAAACACAGGGATTATTTTGAGCATTAAAATAAGTAACAACAGGAATGGATCAAAAATACATTTAAAAGGCCCCCTGCACAATGGCTCAGTGGCTAAAATCCTTGGCTTGCAAGTACCAGGATACCACATGGGCACCAATTCATGTTCTAGCGGTTCCACTTCCCATCCAGCTCCCTGCTTATGGCCTGGGAAAGCATATCCCTTAGGGGATAGCCCAAAGCCTTGGGACCCTGCACCTGCGTGGGAGACCAGGAAGAAGCTCCCGGCTCCTGGCTTTGTATTGGCTCAGCTGTGGCCATTGCAGCTACTTGGGAAATGAACCAGCGTAATGGAAGATCTTTCTCTCTGTCTCTCCTCCTCTCTGTAAATCTGCCTTTCCAATACAAATAAATAAATCTTTAAAACACACACACACACACACACTTAACAACAACACATTGATGAGTCCATACAAATACCAGAGTAGGCAAAGGAAAATAAGAGAATGCCTTTCTGTACCAACTAATAATGCAAATGGAAGGGACAGAAATAGAAAAGCCACTACAGTAATAACTGATTCAACCAAAAATTACCAAAGAATGCCCAAATCATGGGCGGAAGATTGCATAGAAATGTAACACAGAAAACTTCAACAGACACTACTCGAACCACATGATCAAATGTAGTTATACCAATCACATACATGTGTATATCTGCCTTCTTTTCAAGATTTATTTATTTTTATTGGAAAGGCAGATGTACAGAGAGAGGCGAGACAAACAGAAAGATCTTCCATCCACTGTTTCACTCCCCTACTGGCCTTAATGGCTGAGCTGATCCAGGAGCCAGGAGCTTCTTCCGGGTCTACCATGTGGGTTCAGGGTCCCAAGGCTTTGGGCCATCCTCAACTGCTTTCCCAGATCACAAGCAGGGAGCTGGATGGGAAGTAGAGCAGCTGGGACATGAACCGGCACCCATATGGGATCCCTGTGCATACAAGACGAGGACTTTAGCCACTAGGCTACCATGTGGGACCCAAAAATAAATAAATCTTAAAAAAAAAAAAAAGAAAGAAAGACCCACACAGAATGAAGAAACCATCAGGCCACTTGATTGGATTTTTTAATTGGAAAGGTGGATATACAGAGAGGAGAGACCAAGAGGAAGATCTTCCGTCCAATGAGTCACTCCACAAGTGAGCGCAACGGTTGTTGCTATGCTGATCCGAAGCCAGGAGCCTCTTCTGGGTCTCCCACGCGGGTGCAGGGTCCCAAAGCCTTGGGCCATCCTTGACTGCTTTCCCGGGCCACAGGCAGGGAGCTGGAAGGGAAGCGGGGCTGCCGGGATTAGAACCGGCGCCCATATGGGATCCCGGGCGTGCAAGGCGAGGACCTTAACCACTTGCGCCACCGCGCTGGGCCCTTGATTGGATCTTAGTTCCAGAAAGTAAAAGCAATACATGAATAATTGGGGACAATTTGAATGTGGTCTGGATATTCGACAATAGGTCATATTAATAATTATATTTCTGAGTGGATAACTGTATTGTAGCTATCTAGACAAATATCCTTGCTCTTAGGGAACACAAAGTAATTAGTTGGAATGTAATGATAGCTCTAATTATCTTTCAAGTGATTCAGAGGAAAAAAGATGAAACAAATGTGAAAAATGTTAATGATTGATGAATTGGTAGGAAAACATATGGGTGTTCATTGTACAATTCTTGCCATTTTTCTGTAGGCTTGAAATTTTTCAGAATAAAAATGTGGAGGCAGTTTGTAACAAAAACATTTCGACAATTCAAGAGCTACCATCCGTAAAAAATTATCCCCTATTTCAAATAGTTTCAATCCATTTGAAAAAATAAAATCAGCATCAGACAAAAGACAAAAAAAAAAAAGAAAATTATTGATGGATTTGATTACATAAAAATCTAAATGCCTATTTCACAATTAAAAATATACAATAAAACAATACACTGGGGAACAACAACAATAAAGACTGCTGTCTACACACACCCCTGCTTACAAGTCAGTAAGAAAAAAAATACCTTCCAAAAAGAATGGGTGAATACATATACCCAGAAGACGTAATAAAGCAGTACATGGGGGCTGGCATACGGTCCAGTGAATTAAGCCACCTCCTGTGACACCAGCATCAAATAGGGATGTTGGTTTATATCTGGCTGTGCCACTTCCAACCCTGCTCCCTGCTAATTGCCTGAAAGAAAGCAGCAGGGGGCAACACAAGTCCTTGGGCTCTCCCCACCCGGGACCTACATGAGGGACCCAAAATCCAGGCACCTTCCTTCAGCCTGGCCCAGCTCTGACCATTGCAGCATCTGGGAGTCAACCAGTGGATGAAAGCTTTTCTCTTTCTCTTTTTCTTTCTTTATCTCTGACTTGAAAATAAATAATAAGTAAATCTTTTTTTTAAATTAGCACATGAAAGAAAAAAATCAAACAGTCAATAGCAATCTTAAAGTGTCAGACTCTGTGGTAATTAAAGAAATAAAAGTGTAAACACTGAGTTGATTTTTGTTTTGCCCTGTGGTGTTGATTAGTGAGGGATGCTGCATAGTGTGTATGAGAATCTGAGGGAATAAGCAGTCCACACTGCTTTTAAACCTCCTCGGATGGGCTGGCACTGGCTCAGCAGGTTAATCATCCAGCATCAAGCACCAGCATCCCATACAAGCGCCAGTTCAGGTCCTGGCTCCTCCACTTCAGATCCAGCTCTCTGTACATGGCCTGGGAAAGCAGATGAAGATGAACCAAGTCCTAGAGATCCTGGACCCACATGGGAGACCTGGAAGAGGCTCCTGGCTTCGGATCAGCTCAGCTCCAACCATTGTGGCCACTTGGGGAATGAATTCCTGGATGAAAGACCTTTCCCTCTCTCTCCTTCTCTCTGTAAATTTGCCTTTCATATAATGAATAAAGATTTAAAAAAAAACTGCTTAAAAAATAAATAGGAATTTTTTTTAAAAAAAGCTCTTTGAAGGCCAATCGACTATAAAAGTTCAATGTTCTGTTATTCAGTGACTCCACTTCACTCCAGAGAAATAGTTAAATGCCCAATAGGTGTGCATATAAGGATATTCAGTACAGAGCTTTTTTAAAATTTTATTTATTTTTTAATTGGAAAGGTGGATATACAGAGAGGAGGAGAGACAGAGAGGAAGATCTTCCATTCGATGGTTCACTCCCCAAGTGACTGCAACGCTGGAGCTGAGCCAGTCTGAAGCCAGGAGCCAGTAGTCTCTTCCGGGTCTCCCACGCGGGTGCAGGGTCCCAAGGCTTTGGGCTGTTCCCAACTGCTTTCCCAGGTCATGTACAGAGAGCTGGATGGGAAGCGGTGCTGCCAGGATTAGAACCGGCACCCATATGGGATCCCGGTGCATTCAGGGCAAGGACTTTAGCCACTATGCTGTCACATCAGGCCCAGTACAAAGCTTTTAGTATAAATCTTAGTATTGACGCAGTCTCCATGTCTGACAATTGGTGTTAAGATAAACAAATTAAGTTAAGCTAAACAAATTATTCCTTCAACGGGATACTAAAATGAATATTAAAAATAATGGTATGGGGGGCAGGTTTTTGATCTAGTAAGACAGTTGCAATCCATTAGGAGTACCTACATTTCAGTCCCAGTTCCTTTTCCAATCTAGCTAATGTGCACCCTGGGAGGCAGCAGATGACTGGGACCCTGCAACACGTGTGGAAGACTCAGACAGAGTTCCAGGATGTTCTTTGCTGATTTTTTTTTTTTTAATTTTTTTTAGAGAGTTCCCATCCACTGATTCCCTCCCTAAATGCTTGCAATGACTAGGACAGGGCTGGAGCAGAAATCAGGAATCAAGACCACAATCTAAATCTCCCATAGAGGTGGCAAAAACCCAGTTACTGAAGGCATCACCATTGCCTCCAAGAGACTACATGAGCAGGCAGCTGGAGTCAGGAGACACAAGGCTGAGCCGGGTGTCTGACCCAGGGCTTCCAACATGGGATGCAGGTGTCTCAAGCACTGTTTAACAACTAGGCTAAGCATTCACCTTGACAAACTGTTCTTATTTTGCTTTTCTTCATTTAAAATCATGAACACCTTTTCTTTCTAAATGTCTATTAATTAAATTTAAATAATACCAAGTCAAATAATTTTTTTAAAAATGATTTGTTTATTGAGAAAGGCAGAATTACAGAGAGGGAGAGACAGACAGATCTTCCAGATGCTGATTCACTCCCTAGATGGCTACAATGACAAGTGTTGGCCAGGAGCCAACAGCCAGGTCTCCCATGTGGGTAGCCAGGACCCAAACACCTGGCCATCCTCTGCTGCTTTTCCCAGACCATTAGTAGTGAGCTAGATTAGAAGTAGAGCATCTGAAACAAGAAGTAGTGCCCATGTGGGATGCCAGCATTGCAAGTAGCAGCTTTACCCATGAAGCTCCAAGGTCTTGTTCTTATACAAACATATATAGAATGTATACACACAGACACACACAAAGAAAAGAAATCTGAAACTTTAGTCTCCAAAATTTACTATAAGAGTGGGTTTTTTTTTTTTCTGGAAGATAGTGGATTATGGGTGATGTTTGTTTCCAATTCTGTTGCTGTTATAATAATTTTCTTTTAAGATACAATTGTCCAAAAAGATCACATATCAAGCCTAGCTCAATAGCTCAGTGGCTAAATCCTCACCTTGCACATTCCAGGATTCCATATGGATGTTGGTTCATGTCCTAGCTGTTCCATTTCCCACCCAGCTCCTTGCTTGTAGCCTGGGAAAGCAGTGAAGGATGCACCAAGTACTTGGGACCCTGCACCCACGTGGGAGACCTGGAAGAAGCTCTTAGTTGCTGATTTTAGATCAGCTTAGCTCCAGCCATTGTAGCCATTTGAGGAGTGAACCAGAAGATGGAAGATCTTTCTCTCTGTATCTCCTTCTCTCTGTAAATCCGATTTTCAATAAAAATTTAATATTTAAAAAATTTTTCCTGGCTAAATAAATGAAAGAATCTGGCTCAACTTTTAAATGTGACTGAAATCCCTTTACATGATGAATAAACCAGACCAGTGTTCGAGTTCTGGTTCGTCTTTTAGCTATATAGCAATGATCACAAGCTCTAGTTTCAACCATAACAGGACAGGGAAGGGAAGGGAAGGGAAAGGAAGGGAAAGGAAGGGAAGAGAAAGGAAGGGAAGGGAAGGGAAGGGAAGGGAAGGGAAGGGAAGGGAAGGGAAGGGAAGGGAAGGGAAGGGAAGGGAAGGGAAGGGAAGGGAAGGGAAGGGAAGGGAAGTAAATGGTGCAAGTGCTTTGCAGCCACTGGGGAGTGAACCAGTAGATGGAAATCTCTCTCTCTCCCTCCCTCTCTCTCTCTCTTTCCTCTCCATCTCTGTCACTCTGCCTTTCAAATTAGTGAAAAACATATTTTAAAAAATTTAAAACTGAAAGTGTAAAATTACTGTTTTTGTGGCCATACATCTAGATTTCCTAAGCTCCAAGTTACACTGCAAAGTCCACACAAACTGATGATTATTTTTGTTTATTATCAGTGCTTATATTAGATTATAATTTTTTATCTGTGCAAAAATGGTGCACAGCTCCATGGATAGATTATAATTTTAATAGCAAATAGAGACTATATCAATTTAATATGTCTGATATAAGTAAAGTACAACTTACAAAAAAAAGTGCCTTGATAATTTTTGGATAATGATGACTATGATATTGACCATCAACCTGTCCCAATGGACAAATGAGCCTTCTATGTGATGACTGGCAGCCAATCCTGCAGCTCATACATATTCTTAAAGAAAGTTGAACCCAGAGGCTCATTGCCTTAGAAACCCCACTAATGTGGTGACTCAAACTTGTCCAGATGGCTTTATGGAGGGCAGACAATCGTCAAGCTTTCCACCCTGCACCCTTAAGTTTCTAATTTCTGAACTCCCCCTCCTGAGAGCCCCTCATTGAAGTAATTACCTTCTCATGCCCCATACCTTGATAAAGTTACCTTCATACTCAAACAAAAGCAGTGGCCATGTGATGTTGATGATGGAGGGAAAGAGCTTCTTCAAGGACAGCTGAAGCGAAAGAGAGGTGAGCAGAAGAGGCCTTTCTAGGGAGGCCACCCAGTGTCCCTCTCCAATGCTGGATATTCATCGGCAGGGACTGCCCCACAGTGCCGTGTGCCAGTGCCTGGATACTCGAGGTCTTCTCTTTCACCTGCTGCACCAGCATCTCCACCTCTGAGAGATTGTCTAGGGGAGGGCAGGGCAGGGCAGCAGGGTGGAAAGCCTGCCATGCCACTGTTTTTCCTGCCACCCTGGGGTCCACCAATTCCTTCCATGGACCCAGAGAAACGAAAGCTCCCTTGAGTCCCACTATAGCCTTCATCTTTTCACACCACCACGTCCATTGTTCCCCTCACCATCCAGGGTGAAAATGAAGACTACAGTGTCATTTTCCGTGATGGAGGGCAGGATGCACAACTGGAAGCCCTCTTGGGAGAAAGAGAACTGGGGACCCTGGTGCAGAAAAAGATAGGAAAGTCCTTCTCATGAAAGTGTTCTGGGACACAGACTTGAAGATGGAGGACAGCTACTGTAGATGGAAAACAGAGGCTCACAAAAAAGCAAAAAAAAAAAAAAAAAAAAAAAAAAAAAAAAGCAGAGGCAGGAAGTCAGTGGTTTAGAGCCAGGCTGGAGGGGTGAACAGGAAAGGAAATTCCCACATCTCTTCTGCTGCCCCAAGGTCCTGACCTCTCCACTTTTAATCCCTTCTCTGAACCATCTCTCCCAACACACTCCCACACTCCCTCTTCTTCCCTCCCACCCTCTGCACATCAATAACTTTCACACCTGCAAACCACCCACCAACACACACGCACACAAGTCCCTTTTCATCTGTCCTGGGTGGTGAGCTCAGCCTTCTGGTTAAACATGTCACTATGATCACCAATGAGAAAGCCACGGATGTCTCAAAAATCTGGGAAATAGACAGGAACAAAACAAACAAACAAAAAACAATGCATTCTACAGGAAAGGAAGGCTCTAGACTGCAGGGGCATCCATAGGGTTGGGAAGGGGAAGTGACAAGTGGGATGCAGGATGAGGAGGGGGCATAGGAAAAGGAGCTTAGATCATAGCTAAGCATAGGTGTAGGAGTCAAGAAATCAAGGACTGAGCTGGGACTCCTGGAGAAGCACTGAGCTACAGTACTTATTTCAATATGGCAGGACGGACATTGAGAAACCCCCATGGGCTTGGTAGGATAGAGTCTAGGCAATGTGCCCTTGGTTGGCATCAGGGGGAATCAGGAAAAACATCTGGACTAAGGTCCCACCAGCGCCAAAGGTGTGGATGCACTTCACTCCATCTATGATGACAATGATACCCGGGGTCTGCCAGCCAACCAGGTGCACTCGGCCTTTCTTCTTCAGGCTGGGAGGGGCCAGAGGCCAGGTCATGAGAGATCACAGGGAAGCAGAGGTCAGAGGGGCACTTGGAGGAACATGGGGGTAGTAAACAAACAAGGACCCCACCATGATTCTCCAGCATGCGGACCCCCTATCCTCACCACCCATACATGTCCCATGGAGGGCTCCTCCGCCCCTGCTCTCAGGACAGTCCCCATCCAGGCAAGTTCTCTGCTTTCCACTCTCTACAACACACAGCCACACACCTGGTGCTGACTTGCTTCATTAACGAAGCAATCTTGGGACTTTGACTGTAGGTGACCTGATGAGCCCGCTCGAATGTGTGCAAGATTTCCAGGAGGCACCTGAGAGAACAGTCGCCACTCCCAGGGAGGGCCCAATGCCCCCTCTGAAAGCCCAGATAGCCTACCATTCCCCTTAAAGCTGAGTGCTGTTGGCCCTGTGAGTGTACAGAGATTAGAGCAGACTGTATTCAGGAGGAGCAGACAGGGAGGGTTTCAGTAGGCAGAAAGAAGGGCAGAGCGGCAAGAGGGCACTGAAGGAGGATGGGGTAGGAGGGCTGAAGGGAAGAGAAGTGAGCAGTCTGGGAGCAAGGCTGGGGACCTCACTAGGGAAGAGAAGAAAGTCCACAACAGGATGAGTTCTGGGTTGTCTTCAAATCACAAGACCTTAAGAAGCCAGGCTAGCTTTGGAGATTCCAAGCCAGCTCAGGGGTTGGATGTGCACCTGAGGAGCCCAGCATACAGTAGAGACAACAGCATTCATTTGCCAGCTCCTTTCCCAGGGAGCAATGGTGGGGATGCAGCCCACTTAACAGCTCTGCCTTTGCCATGCTCCTGTTCACACCAGCCCTCTCCATGCCTCACTCTGATCTCTCTCCTCTGCAGCTCTTCCTTACTTCTGAGAGGCTGCAATGCCCCAGTCCACCGTCTTGTGTGCTGCCAAGAGCAGGGTTTCCAGCAGGACCTTGGTGGTGCTTCCACCTTTCATCTGGGAGGAGCCACTGAGACCCTCAGGCTGAGGAGGCAATGACAACCAGGAAGAATTGTGAGATGAAGGAATAGCACCCTGGTCAAGGATCCCTGGCTGTAAACAGTGTTTAGTGACCACGGGGCATGCATTTGATAGTACTGGTGGCTCCTTGGTGTGCTGGTGGAGTGTCAGGGAAGGATTCATGGAAAGGAAGACAGAGAGAGCAAGGGGCCACTTCTTGTCATTCCTCTGGTGCATTCACGATTCTGGGGAGCAAGTCACAGTAATGAGTGTCTTATTGGCTGGGTCAAAGGTTTGCTTCAGAGTGCTTTTTTTTCTGTCCATTACCCCAACACTCTTGGTCATGGCGGGTCATTCACACCTGATGTGCTTTGGACAGACCAGTGAAGCAGCCATTGCCATGATATGTAAGCATAACACAACATACTAAGTAGGTAAAGAGATGCCAGCAAGGGAAATGCTAAAACCAGTGAGTAACCATGCAATCCAATGTCTTTTGCAGTACTGTCCATAATAGCCAACTTGTGCAATCAACCTAAGTGCCTATCAACAGCTGAGTGGATGGAGAACATGCAGTATATATTCATAATCAAATATTGCTCCACCACAAAACACCTGGAATCCCATTATTTGCCGCAACATAGATGAACCTACAGCACATGGTGTTATGTGAAATAAGGCTGACACAGAAAGAAAATGCTCTACAATCTCACTCACACATGGACTCTGAAGAAATTGATCTCACAGAAGGTAAGAGTAGCAGGCTGGTTACCAGTTGCTGGTAAGGAGAAGGGAGAGAGAAGAATGGGAAGAGGTTGATTGGTAGATACAATGGCACCGTTTAATAGGAGAAATATTTATAGCATTCTATTGAACAGCAAGGTGACCACAGCGCACAATAATTTGTCATTTTTTTCAAAATAACTGGAAGAGAGAATCTTGAGTGTTCTTATCACAAATATATGATAAACATCAGAGATGAAAAATATGCAAATTAATCTGGTGATTAAACAATACAATCATTGAAACATCACATTTTACCCTGTAAATATGTATGATTGCATGTCCTCAAACATAGAATAAAATAAAGCAATGATTGAGAAAATAAGATTGAAAATCAACAGTTGCAGACAGGAAAGAAGAAAGAGGAAACTCTGGAAGCTGAGGTTGCAAAACCATGGCATAACATGAGGTTCTGACTTCCTGTCTCACAAAAGGGGAATCCAGAGAAATGTCATAGATGTGCATACCACCACAAGAGTGAGCACAGGATCTGGCAAAAGCTCTCACTTGATCTTAGCCAAAAGGCCGAGTAGCAGTGGCAAAAGCTCTCAGAAGGACAGAGTCAGGGGAGATGATCCCAGAGAGATGGATCCACCACACAGTGAAGAACAGAGGAACAAGAGTGTAAGAGGCTAAAAAGGCACACCCAGGGCCCAGCATTGTAGTGGAGTAGGTGAACATGCTGGCATGCCATATAAGTTCCAATTCATGTCACAAATGCTCCATTTCTGATTTAACCCTCTGTCTGGGAAAGCAGCTAATGGTTGGTACATCCACATGGAAGGCCCAGAAGAAGCTCCTGGGCCCTAGCTGCAACCTGGCCTAGCACTGGCTGCTATAGCCATCTGGGAAGTGAATCAGAGAACGAGAGGTCGGTCTCTCTCTCTCCCTCCCTCCCTCCTTATCTCTCTCCTTCCCTCTCTCTCTTTCTGTAACTCTTTCTAAATAAATGAATAAATATTTTTAAAAGGCACACCCAATTTTGGAGAGGATTTTGAAAAGCAGAAGGATGAAACGGCACCATATTTTTTTAAAGTTCATATTTGAAATTTAAATACACAAAAAGGAGAATGAGACATCACAACAGCTATTCAATGCTATCTCTAAACAGATGGAGAAGAGTGGCTTTAAAAAAAACTACTGCAGTGTTTAATGATTACTAATTTGAGAGACAGGGTCAGCAGGAAGATAAAACATCATAAGGAGGAAAATAGGAAATTAGGGTGCAATTTATAACATGTTGGCAGACACACTGTACCACAGGAATATAGACAGAGCGTTACAGAGTCTAAAACCAGAAGTCCTAAGCAAATAGCAAGCAATTTTCAATTGTTGGAAAGGAATTGGCACACAGGAAAAGGAGTGGCCTTACTCCAACTGCAGGATTGAGCACAAAAGCTTCCTGCTTCTCTTGCATCTTCTGCATCCACTCTGCTATTTGTTGAAATCTAGAACTCCAGTCTTCAATGGGGTCGTTTCTGGGATCCAGAGAGACACAGAAATGGCAGGATTGTCAGTGAAGGACTTGAGTGGGGAGTCAGGATCTTAGCCCACGTTAGGATTGGAGTCAGAAGTCAAAGACTTCACAGAGGTGTGCTCTGACACTCACAGGGTGTTCTGTTCCTGAACCCCAAGGACAGAGGTTCATGAACCATGCAGCAGCTGAAGGCCAGAACAACCAATGCTCCAGTTAGAGATGCAGCCTGGGATTAGTGCTTTCTTGTATCCTGTGCCTTGTGTAAGTCTGCTCCAGGGCCACACAAGCCCTGTATTCTGTAGGATCCTTGAAGACATGCCTGTCGTCTGAATATCAAAATTACCCTCTTATTTTCCACCTTGGCATCCATCAGAAGCCTGTCTCATTCCTGGGAATCCCTCCAAAAAGAACACCTGAGAGACAGATGTGTCTCCAGCAAGGGAACAAAGCTGAAAGGTCTGTAGCAGCCAAGTTGGCAAATGTTCCTTGAATGAATTCATCAGAACAGAGCAAAGTTCTCATGAGACAAGAGAACTACAGCCTGTTGTCTGCTTACTTATAAATCATGGAATCTGAAAGAATGAGGATCTTTCATGGTTGATTTATAATGATTTTGCAAGGGGCCCATTTGTGAGTCACCCCTTACAGAAGGACCTCAGAGAGTTACCTCTTGTCTATGGTGCCCCAACTTCCCTTTCTCATCCCAGGCTATAATTTTTACATTTTTTTCTTCTGTATTACTTCTAGGGTTGACATATCTCACCTATTCCATACCCATTGTGTGAAGTAGTTCCTAACATTTATCCTCAAGCTATTTATTCCAATTCCTAGAGACCTAGCAAAGAGGAGACAATGTCCATGTTAAAAATCAAGCTCCCCTTGGGCCCGGCGCAGTGGCCTAGGGGCTAAGGTCCTCAACTTGAACATTCCAGGACCCCATGTGGGCACCGGTTCTAACCCCGGCAGCTCCACTTCCCATCCAGCTCCCTGCTTGTGGCCTGGGAAAGCAGTGGAGGAAAGCCTTGGGACCCTGCACCCGTGTGGGAGACCCAGAGGAAGTTCCTGGCTCCTGACTTTGGATCAGCACAGCTCCAGCTGTTGCGGCCACTTGAGGAGTGAATCATCGAATGGAGGATCTTCCTCTCTGTCTCTCCTCCTCTCTGTATGTCTGACTTTGTAATAAAAATAAATTAAAAAAAAATCAAGCTCCCCCAACTTGCCTAGGCATCAACAACACCTGAAGAATCTGGGTTTGTTTTTTCGTTTTTGATTTTAATAATTCTCCCTTTGGGGATAGGACTTGCACCCTAAGATTCAAGTTCAGTAGTTCTGTAACAGAGCTCAAAAATACATATTTTTCAAAAGCCTCCCAGATGACTCTGATGATCAGCCAAGTTTAAGAGTCACTGAGTTAAGGAACAACTGGAAGATCTCCACGCCTACATTGTTTGAAGCTCTTCATTTCACTTAGTCACAGGGCCTGAAATTAGCATCAACTGCAGCAGATATATTTTTGGTAAAGAGGAGTCCTGCATGAAAAGGGTCATCAGACACACCTTCCTACAAATGACATGCTAAGTCTTGAATTGGAGAAAGAACCCAGTTCCTCTCCCACCCTGGGACCACCAGGAGACATTCAAAGCTGCTGGAAAAATGACATGCTTGTGTTGCAATCCCTCCAGGGACAGGAAACCTAGTGATTTTATTTAGCAGAATTCTTCAAACCACACTATGCTCCAGAACCCAATGGATGCTGCCCTTCCACAAAATACACAAACAGTTATTTCAGGACCTTAGACCAAACCTACAAAAGCAAGTCCCTTATACAAGGAACTAAGGTTCTTCTTTGTCAATTTTTTTTAACACTCCCCAGGCAGCTCAGACACAGAGACACGTCTGAGCTGTATTGGTTTAATATACTGGCTTTATCTAAGATCAGACAAAATAGCCATTGAAATTGAGATAAGAATGAGGGGGTAACTTGTTTGCACAAGGCTCTCAGAAGGGGGACAGTCAGCAAGGATCAAAGTACCTGAAATGATGGGAGGGAATAGCACCAAAATAAGAGTGTTGGACAAAGAGAAGCAGCAGTTACTTGGCACTCTCTGATACTACTTTGAAATGCTGCTCGCAGCTCACCTCAAGTGACCCTGTTTTGTCCTCTGAATCTTCTCTTCCTTGCCTGTTAAGTCCCTGTTTGGAATGGATGTGATCTGACATCCATGCAGCATTAGTAAGCTGCCTTCCATCCTTTCTGAAACAATCACTAAACACATCAATCAATCAACCAACAAAAACCTCCTAAGCCATGGGCATACCCCTCCTTACTAGCCTCAGGTTTGGCAAACAAGACTACACTCCTCTGTGCCCTTCTTAATGATTGCGCTCTGGATTTTGTCAAGTTCCTGCCAGCCTTCCCCAGGTTTGGCTGGTAAGCATCTTTTCAACACAGAGGGCTCACCTGGCCATGCTCACTGGGTTGAAACCAACCAGGATTGGCAAGAAGACAGCTGTGTTATCCATGCAGTAGTCCATCTGGCCTGCCACAAAGGGAGCCTGATGGCAGGGGAAGAGGAAGGGATGATTGGGGGTGGAGGGAACTGGTTACTTTGAGTCTTGTCTTATACCCATGTACATCATAATCACTCAGAAGTCTAGGTAGAAATCCAGGTTCCTAAAGCCAGAGTCTGAATTGGAAGGGAACAGTCTACATGTTTAATAAGCATGCCGAGGCTACTCTGTGTTTAACAAGTTCCACCCAAGGAATTTTCTGCATGGTAGAGTCTGAAAACCACAGGACTAAATTGTAAGCAACTTGAAGTCAATATCCTGATGGACTTGTGTGCCCAATGGACAGCTGACAATACTGGGATTCAGTTTTTGCTCAGAGAATTCTTAGGGAGCTGCAGGGTTGAGAGAAAACTTGAGCTCCTATAATCCAGTACTTCACAAATACTGGGATTTTTTTTAAATGAAGACTTGGAATCAGAAGGTTTGGGAAGGCAAAATCTGACATTCAGCATTTCGAATAAGTCCCAGGTGATGCTGATGTTGCTAAAGTAGCAATCCTACTTTAAGTAGCAAGTGACTAGTCCAGGGACCAGGTTTTTCTGTAAAGGACCATAGGGTAAATTTACTTTAGGTTTTTTTGGGCCCTATGATCTCTGTCCAACTACTCAACTCTAAGGTCATAGTATAAAAGAGGCCATAGATTGTGTCGAAACACAAATGGCTATGTTCCAATAAAGCCTTAATTGCAAAAACAGGAAGCAGGCGAGATGAACCTGACAGTGTCATTTGCTGACTTGTGGACTAGTCAGTCTACTGTCTTGGTTGCTGACGGATTAATTGATACACAGTTATCCTGACATAGGATCCCTCCCCCAACGTCTGGCCTTCATACAACTGGATCCAAGGTAATGAAACTAAAATCAAAATTCCCTGTGCAAGGGCTGGTGCCGTGACTCAACAGGCTAATCCTCCACCATTTGGTGCTAGCATCCCATACAGGCACTAGTACTTGTTCTAGCTGCCCCACTTCCCATCCAGCTCCCTGCTTATGGCCTGGGAAAGTACAGGATGACCCAAAGCCTTAGTAGCCTGCACCCTCATGAGAGACCCAGAAGAATTCCTGGCTCCTGGCTTCAGACTGGCTCAGCTCTGGCCATTGCAGCCACTTGGAGAGTGAACCAGCAGATGGAAGATCTTTCTCTCTGTTTCCCTTCTCTCTGCAAATCTGCCATTGAGATAAAAATAAAATAAATCAAATAAATCTTTTTTTTTAATTCCTCGTGTAAACTTTGTTTCCTAGCTCCACCTTGCCAGCCTAGTTTCATGTTATTCCATTCCCACCCCCTTCCTTCCTGTAAAATGGATCCACTCAACCATCTTCACAGAGAGTCCCACTGAAATGCCAATGACAATCACCCTCTTCTTCCCTGCAGCCACCTAGGAGAAAAGGAAGTGCAAGGTAATGTGACTGAAGGACTCTGGGGCACACACCCCAGTTGTAAGGATGTCCAGGCCAGGACCAAGGGAGAGGGTGGTGTGGGCTTTGGATGAATGTTGGGACTTTTGCATCCCCATGAAAAGGAATAGAAAGAGGTCTCTGCTTGAATATCAATGAAAAGCACAGACCTCCTTCAGTTCCTCAATCCCACTCAGGGCACTGTCTTCTGTCCCTTCCCTGGAGGCCACCACAGACCTATAAGGACAGACTCCAGGTCAGCCATAAGTTGGGAAGCAGAAGCCTATGGTTTATTGAGAAAAGTCATAATGAGAGAAGGGCAAACCATCATTGAAGGAGCACCTCCTGACTATTGGTAACCACTCCAGAATTTTAAGAAAAATCAAGTTGTTATGTTATGTTATGTACTAGTTAGGCAACATAAACTGTGTGAAGTGGGTCAAGTAAAAGGCAGTAAAGATTGATGAAGACCAAGGGAAATTGGATGCAATCTCTTTTTGAAGGCATTCAAATGCAATTTCTAAAAAAACACTACTTGGATAAACACAGCCCTCACAGGCTTACCTGGCTCACCTGTCACCTCCTGCAATGAGGTAGGTATAAAGAGGTTTCTGTCCTAGACCTTTCATTAGCTGGTTAAAGGAAACCTGTTACGGGGCAGAGGACATGGAGAGGTGAGATCATGAAGACACAGCCGTCTTAGATGTTCCGCTTCTACAAGGCATAAGTTGCCTCCTGACTATCATAAGCCAGTACTTAACTCAGTCCTACCTGGAATCCAGCACATAGAAATGCTCTTTGGAGATGATTAATTGGGGGTGCATGAGATTTAGAGAATTAGCAATAGACAAGAAATGAGCCTCCTCAGTGAGATGTAGATTTTGGAAGAGAAAGAGAAAGAGAAGAGTGATGAATGGAGTCCTAGTCTACAGAGGGGTACCCCAGGACTCTAGCTATGATCAGCTTTGTGGGCCTCATGAAGTCACCCTCAGAAGGAAGAGGTAGGAAAGGCAGGCATTGCAGGGCTCGCCGACATGAGGAACGCCATTCTGCCAGAGGTGCCTCCTCCGCTCTGCACCACCAGCCCTCCATCTGGCTCCTAAGGAAGGAACAATCACTTGGTCACCAAAACCCAGGTCAGGATGGTGTGGAAAGGAATGAATTCAGTAATGGAAGGGGAATCGGAGGACCTGCTAATCCTTCTGCAAAACTGAACAGAACACAGGCAGCTGGGGTAGCTCAAAGAACGTTCAGCTGGAGAGAGAAACCTCAGTTTGACATGTCTACTACTTACGGTCTTATTAACCCAGAAAGCTTGTCATCTGAATAAATAAACAGTGAAGACAGCGTCATCTACCAATAAATAGCTGGCTGTATTTGCTCAAGCTACTGTGATTATGCTTTGTAAGTTTTGTTTTCTTATTTAAAAAAATGGAAACAATAACACCAAATTTGCAGATTTGGGGAGTGTAACGGACATGAAAGCACTTGTTAATTTTAATGTCATGTAGATAATAATTACTATTATATTATTGATTAAGAAGATGACTGTGAATCTGACTTTCAAATAAAAATAAATTCAGCTCTTTTTAAAAATGGGGCTGACACAGTGATGTAGCAAATTAATCCCCCATCTGCAAGTGCCAGCATCTTGTGTAGGCACTGATTCATGTCCTGGCTGCTTCACTTCAAATCCAGCTCCCTTCTTATGGCCTGGGAAGGCAATGAGCGATGGTTCAAGTCCTTCAGCCCCGGCATTCACGTGGGAGACTCAGAGGAAATTCCTGGTTCTCAGCTTCAGATAGGCTCAGCTCTGGCCATTGCAGCCATTTAGGGAGTGAACCACTGGATGGAAGATTCTCTCTCTGTAAATTTCCCTTTCAAGTAAAAATAAATAAATCTTTAAAAAAAAAAAATAATGACAGCAGGGACCCAAAAGAGAGGACTGGGAGAGGAGGGACAATTAAGATCTATAAAAGTAAGACATAGAGACCCCCAACCCAGAAAGAGAAAGTTAAATAAGCAAACTGAAAAGTTTAGGCGGGGAGTAGATGAAGGGTCAGTACCTTCAGCACTTCCTGAACTTTCCCAGCCACTTGGACCATGGTGGTCAGAATGGATTCGCTGTATAGCCGCTGTGGGGAAGTAGTCAGAGGTTAAGGGAAGAAGGACAGCTGTTGGGGGCTGGCAGTGGGGAGGACTTTCAGGGTTTCCAGTATTAAGAGCAACGGTATGGGAGGACAGAGGTTGAGGTCGGTTAGGAATGATGTCTTTATTGGCCTTTTCTAGGGGATAAGCCTGGGTCACCTGGTATGTGAGTACAATTTGCCCCTCCTCCTGGAAGATCTCAGCATCACATTGGCCCAGCAACTGAACAATTTGCTCTGCATTAGCTTTGTCCAAGTCCCGGGAAGTGGGTTTGACTTCTCCATGATTGGCACAGAAGCCTCATATCCTGACAACTAGAAGAAAGGGGACGTGAGTCCGGAGGCTGGAACTCTAATCCTCATTCACACTTACTGAACAGGAGGTGAGAGAGGCAGCACACGCACGCACACCTCAGGGCCTTAGCCAGCAGCTGTTCTCTGCATTCTTCTGGGAAAAAAGAAGACCATAAAGGAGGAGAGGAGGAGAAGAGGAATTGAGCAGGAACCCAGGGTAGAGGAAAGCATCAGTGAAAAATGGTTCCAGGAATCGGGCGGAAGGCTACCTTGGAGAAGTGGTCTCACCTCCCACTCTCTAGGCTCCGGGATCTCAATCATGTGTTGAAAGCACTTTGTGCCTGGCATGGTGCTGTTTTGTGTGCACACTGTTAGGCCCCACAAACCCCACTGGTGGCAATGACTGCTAGCAACTGGCAGAGCCTTATCTAAAAGCTACAGCGACGATTAACCCAGAAACTCCGAGCACCACCCCCTCCCTGCACCTCTGCCGATTCCCCTACCCCTTTCCTAGTCACTAGGTGCCCCCAGGGCTGTCCTTCACCAGCCCGCCTTGGCTGTGGCTCCTGAAGTTTCCCTGCTCCTGCCATTCAGGCACAAAGACCTCCTCTCTGCAGGGCCTGGAGCCTGGGAGTACAAGACAACCCGCAGGTCAAGAGGGAATGCCATGGGCAAAAGCAGGCTCAGAGCAGGCTGGCTGGGGAAGCCAGAGGTCAGTGGCCTGGGCGCAGCGGGAGTCAGAGGACCCAGGTCACAGCTTGATCACATGCCCATCGCCTATATTCCTGCCCTGGCCCATTTTCCCCTGTCTTCACAGGGAGGAAGGTCCCTGTGTACACACACTGAACTGGATCTTACAGAGAAAAAGAGCCGCAGGAATAGAAATACTGCAGTGAGATTCAGGAACCAAAGCATCTGCCCTAAATACGACCTGCAGTCAGCCTTCACTAACCACGGCACGACACACTTTTCACCCATAAGCCTCTTGGAACTCCAAGAAGTGCACCCTGACACCCTCATACACCCCGCCCCTCAGCTGATGACATTGGGGCTGGGAAAAGTGAAATTGATTGCTGAAGATCACACAGCCAGCAGGTTGGGGATCCACCCTGGTGTCCGTTCTTCCCAGCTTGAACGCAAAGCCAAAGCTGGATATAACTTAAGGACTGGCGTGTCTGAGTGGGCCATGTAGGTATAGGTTATCCTAATCAACCACCCACAGAGTGCTGCCAGATCTGGAAGGATCCTCACCCCAGCCTGGCGGGCTTTCCTTCGCTCTGCTTCACAGGTGGGAAAACCTGAGGCCCAGATTAATTTCTTCAAAAATCACTCCGGAAGCATCAGTGCTTTAAAAATGCCAGAGGTCTTTGCCCCCATAACTCGTTCTCGAAAGCCAGCCCTCTTCAATAATCATTGTCCTCAGTACTTGAGATAATACCAGACTCATAGGAGACACTGGATCGATATTTGTGGAATAAAGAATGAATGAGGAGGCGATCGGAATCCAACCAGGTTATGAATGGGAGAGACACTTTAAAAGCTGACGCAGTCTGCAAGTAAGAGACGATGACAACACGCCTCATCTGCATCCCTCTGCCCTCCCGCGCCAGCAGCGCACTCCCCCGCACCCACTCACCCACCCACCCATCCACCATCCCAGGGCCGGAGACCCTGGCCATCGCGTGTCTCCCCGCGCCCACCGCCGGCTCCCGGCTGAACCAGGCGAGGCAGCGTGCTGGGCTCCAGAGGCCGCCATGGCGAGGGGTCGTGGGAGGAGCCCCGAGAGATCCGGGTGGGGGGCGGGGGATGACGGCGGCGAGAGCCCCAGCGGGGCGGGGCGGGCCCGAGCGTCCCGGCCGGGCTGCGGCGGAGCGAGCCGGGCCAGCTCTGCAGAAGGCGGCGGCTGGCTCGCCTGGACGGTCACATCCCGCTGCAGGGGCCGACGGGGGCAGCCGCACAGCCTGGCGCCCGGGGTCCCAAGACACTCCGGCAACGCCCCTCCCGACCCCCGCTCTCGGGGGGCCAGGCTGCGCCGCTAGTCCAAGCTCCGGGTTGGTGAAGGGGGCAGCTCCGCAGCCCCGCGCCGGTGCCTGCGCTGCCTCTGCCCCCTGCCCGCCACTCGGTCCCGCGCTTGCCCGCCTTGCCGGGCCCGCGCCGGGATGGGGTAGGGGGCAGCGCCAGAGTGGAGCGATGGGCCGCCCTCTAGGCACCGAGCAGCCCCCCGAGGCCTGACCCACCGCGAGGACCCGAGCAGGTGGGTGTGGGCAGGGAGGACCGCCTGCCGGGTGGGCTCCAGGCTGATGCGGGGGCGAGGAAGGAGCGGAGTGGAGAGGGGGAATCCAGGGCGCGGGAAAACGAGAGGTGGTGGGCCGCTGGGGACTTCCTCACCGCCACGGGACGGCAGCTGCCCACCGTGCGCGTGTATTCCGGACAGCCCCTGATCCTCACACAACTCCGACCCCCGCAGGACCCCGCCTGGATGTCAAGCAGATACCCCCGTGCCCCGCAGCGGACGCGGCGGGGACAATGGCTTCGCTGATGCCCCTCTCCCCATACCTAAGCCCCACGGTCCTTTTGCTGGTCAGCTGTGACCTGGGCTTTGTGAGAGCCGGTAAGTAGAGACGAGAGGTGGGATGGTCGGGGAGGGGGGCGCGGCCAAGCAGAACTGGACTGTCCGGGCGGGGGGGGGGGGGGGAACCTGTTAACCTGGGCACACCCTGGCACCCCCTCCAGACCGGCCCCCCTCTCCTGTCAATGTGACCGTCACTCACCTCAGAGCCAACTCAGCCACTGTGTCCTGGGACGTCCCAGAAGGCAACATCGTCATTGGCTATTCCATTTCCCAGCAAGTATGAATCACCCCTCTGGGACCCCAACATGTGTCCTTGGTCCCTGGCTTTCTGAACATGATTTCTGTTACTTCCCACCCCTCCCCCACCAAACTCTCCTTCCTCCCATGGGTGAGGAGCCTGGGAACTGCCCTTTGGGTGTTCTAGAGTTTGGGCTCCAGCTCTTGTGGGCTGGGATGAGGCTGTCTTCATCTCTCTGCAGCGGCAGAATGGCCCCGGGCAGCGTGTGATCAGAGAGGTGAACACCACCACGCGCGCCTGTGCCCTCTGGGGCCTGGCTGAGGACAGCGACTACACCGTGCAAGTCAGGAGCATCGGCCTTCGAGGAGAGAGCCCTCCAGGGCCCCGGGTGCACTTCCGAACCCTCAAGGGCTCTGACCGGCTGCCCTCAAACAACTCCAGCCCAGGTGAGGAGGAGTGGAGCTATTTAGAGCTCTGGCTTTGATGGGGCTCCATCACCTCATACTTGATTCCCCTAGACAAGCAACAGATTAGCCTGGTGAATAGCAGGATGATTTCATTTATTGCGCTGGCAGGAAAGGAAGGAAAAGGGGGTGGCATGGGGACTGGGGATAGCCAGGCTGGTAAGAAATTGTTTGAGAGAAGCACTTCTCAGCTGCTTATTATCCAACCCTATTTTACATGCCTGAGCCAACACCTGACCCGCAGCTCTCCTGACTTCATGTTTCCAGCCACCTGTCCTCCCCAGTGGCTCGCTCCCAAAGATGAGCTGCCCCTGCAGTAATGTCAGAGGCAATAACAGATGGGTCTAAGTTGGTCTTTTCCCCTAGCTCCTCCATCCTGCTGGTGACATAGCTCTGAAGCTGGCTCAGTCAGTCATCTGGAGTGTGTCTCTGCCTTTCTCAGGTGATATCACGGTGGAGGGGCTAGATGGAGAGCGACCCCTGCAGACGGGCGAAGTGGTCATCATTGTGGTGGTATTGCTCATGTGGGCTGGTGAGTAAACAACTGGGGATGGGGAGGGACAGGGTGGGAATGAAAGAGCAAAACTCAGGCAAGGTAGGAGGCATCAAAGGAAATGAAAGGGATAGGAGAGAGGAGCTCCTTATCGGAGTTATCGGAGGGCGGTGATCAGGAGAAGCTGGACGAGAATGAGAGGCAGCTGCTGCTAGCCATGAGTGCGTGGACGCCATGACTTCAAAGCATTTCCTCCTTGCATCTTCTATAAGCTGTTCATGGGCACCTCACTACTTGGCTGGGCCATGAGTGAGGAGGTCATGATCGAGGCTCAGAGCGTGTCGTTGTGTTTCAGCGGTGATCGGGCTGTTCTGCCGTCAGTATGACATCATCAAGGACAACGACTCCAACAACAACCCCAAGGACAAGGGGAAGGGGCCAGAACACAGTCCTCAGGGAAGGCCAGTGGGAACAAGACAGGTGATGTGGGGGCCGATGAGGGTGGAAAAGGTGGTTTTATCCCAGAGGAGCAGCCAGGGAAAGAGGGATAGGAAAAGCAGAACAGAAAGTCAGGGAAGGAGGAGTCTGCAGAGAATTGGGAGGGCTCATGACCTTCATGAAATTAGACACTCAGGCCATTTTCTTTCACAGAAAAAGTCGCCATCCATCAACACCATAGACGTCTGAATGGAGCAGCAAAACTGGAAGATGGCTGTGCTAACGGCCTGGGGCTGGGAGCAGTCCAAGTTGGGATGTTTCCAGGGGGGTGATGACACTCCCACAATCTCAGGCTGGTATCCACTCTCCTGGCACTGTCAGCAGGTCCAGAATGTGGATCTGTTGGAATAATCTGCACCCCTGGACCTGGAGCGTGGCTATTCGTTGGGATGTCTCCTCCCATCCCCTCTGCCCGCTCGTTCAACACTGTCCCATTAGGTCCCCACTAGAGGGCCCCGTTTCACCTGCATCAGGACTCTCCGCATACCCAGCTGCTCTCACATCTTGTCTCTGGGCCTCGAGGCAGGGCTGTGGCAATGGAGACTCCTCCTCTCCCAGCAAGCGGACAGCAACACCCGGGGCCTAGAGGTAGAGGCTGCGCTGCAGTACTCCAATGTCTTCCATGGCGCCTCAGGTGCTCCCCCTCTCACCTGGCAGCCTCTGCAGCTACTGGTGAGCTCACCTCCTTGGACATTTTTCCAATAAAGGTTCTTGGACAAACTGGAACTGTCTGGTCAACCATACCACACGCCAAAGACAGGGTCCCACCTTGTGTCTCTGCTGACTTTCCAAGGGCTCCTTGAACCAATTGCAGCTTGACAGAGGCACACTGTTGTAAGGTCCCCCTTGGACCAGTGGAAACCAAGTCATGTCACCAGAGGGGGCCGACAACTTTTCCATCTTCATTGCCCACATTGGCAGCCCAGCTCCTCACCATGATGTTTTCAGACTCCTTGGGGAACATTGGGCTAACAGTCCCAACAGGACTGAGCATTGGGGACTAATGAAACTATGCAAATGGATCCCTCCACACCACACACTCCTGTTCTATGCGTCCCTATGACTGCATGTCCTGCCTTCGTTCTCCCTGGCATCTTGGTTCAGTCAGTCAAAGTTAGTAATAATTGTTTGGCATACAGGCGTTTGTATCCATGCTCAGTTACCACATAGAGAGGAGGATTCTGGAAATAAAACAAGGGATTGTGTATCCCCTAAACAGAGCACTGTAATTTGAGCTCTGTGGAGAAGGGGGAGGAGGGTTGTTTCCTATGCTTTCTTTACTTCCAAAGGGTATGGCTTTGGAAAGGAATGCCTGCTGACATTTTCAGCCATGATGGGGGAAGGACACAGACTCTAAAAGGGGCGCACATGAGATGTGATCCGGAGGGTGACAAGTCATATTCCAGGAAGACTATGGAGGACACTTGTTGTGCATTTTAAATGGTACTGCTCTGCTACAAGGAGTGAGGACAGAAATTCTCAAGGGACCCCAATGCAAACAAAGATCAAGAAGTCAGCTAGCCACACATCCGACCCTGGGTGACCTGAGGGGAGCCAAGCTCCGGTCGGCCCTGCAGCCTAATCCAAACAGCTGGCTAATCCGGAGGTAAGGCACCTTCCCTGCCAGGGCAAGGGGTTCCATGACACTTCTATCTCAAATTCTGGAAGCACCGTCAATTCCTGGGATAAGGGTGTTACCAATAATATACAGAGCACACGAGGGTGATACAAGCTAGGAGTGGCGAAGGAATGTCATTGATATGAAAATCCATCGGCGTGGGTTGAATCCCAGTCCCATCCAAGCCTGACTGTGTTCATTTGGGCAAGCAACTCTCCTCTGATCTAGAATCTCCTGTTCCGCAAAATGTGGCTAATAACCATGCTCTCCCCTTCAAAAGGTGGACAGCGTTTGGCACAAATAGCCCCGAGATCCTGTACAAGTTGGGTTCAATTTTGTCAACGGCAATAGGGCCATCCCAGCAGCCGCGTAGCCTCCCCGGGAGTTGGCAGGCTTCAAAGACAATGCCCTCAGGCTCGTCTACGTGCACCAAGGAGCGGTGAAGACGGCAGCTACAGGACGCCGAGTTGGCCGAAGGCTTTGGGCGGGGCTCGCTCGTGAGTCGGCAGGCCGCGACGCCATTGGTCGGGAGAAGATTCCGTCAGCTCTCCCGAGGGCCCGCCTCTCCCGCGGTGCGCCCAACCCCCCGCTAGCTCTCACTGCGCTTGCGCACGCCCGGTTCTCTTACGTGCTGACCTTGCGACATGTGTGGCGCTCGGGTCGCGCGTCAGCGTCCACGGCTGTCGCTGCGGCTGCGTGACGGGTTGTCCAGGTAACCGCCGGGAGTTGTCGCTGCCCTGTAGCCTCTGAGAGACGGGTGTGCGTCATGCAGCTGAAGCACCTGAGGACCCTGCTGAGCCCTCAGGTGAGGAGTTGGCGTGTCTGACTTCCCGCCCCCGCCCGCCTTGCGTGGCTCGAGCTGAAAAGTTGAATCCTGTGTAGCGCCTGCTAGGTGACAGGAGGCAAAGTTTGCAGCGGTGACGGGACCCTGCCCCGCCGAACTGATGCTGAGGAGGCTAGACGGACCACCGGCTGCTGTAGCCTTGGTTACATTCCATAAATAGCAATAGTCGGAGGGGCCCTGGGCTGAAACCTTTCGTTTGGAGGGTTAAGATGGAGAAGCCTCAGAGTCACAAGAGGCTGGGCCCCAGGGGAGGGTGGGTTTGCGGGGAGCGAGCAGACCAGAATCCACATCCTAGTCCAGCCAATCATGGAGCCCAGTGACCTGCTTATCTCGGGACTTCAGCCCCTGTCACACGCAAGTTCTCGAGCTGAGTGCCCCCCTTTGCCTAATGAGAGCAATGATAACAGCAACTTAAAGACTGTGAAATAGGAAAACACAAGAGCGTTGTCAAAGCTGAAAGGACCGTATAATACAAAGGCAGTAAGAATATCCTCCCTGACTGAAAGTTTGGTACACATCAGAACAGCACGATTACCGGGTGAGACAGTGATTGACAGAGTCAGAGATACCTGCGTTATGTTCTGGTGCTGTCCCTTGTGTCATGGAAGTTTGAAACCAAGTAAGTGGCTCAACGTTCGGGTGTCTCGGTTCCCTGCCCGTAGTGTCTACATCAGGTTCATGGACTAAGTAGAATAGGGCATATCAAGCAGTTATCGAAGCACCTTGTCTGCAGGGAGTGCTTGCTCAAGGTTAGCTATTGTTATGCTGTCCCCTACCTTGCAGCATTCTCCTGACAGTCCTGTGAGGTGTAGGGCGTAAGGGAAAGGAAAATTAACTGTGGGAATCAAGACTGCTCAACAGAAGTGGCATTGAACACCCTGGGAGACAGCAGGTGATGGATGGGTACTTGGGTGTACTTGGGTCCCTGCCACCCGTGTGGGAGGCCTGGGGAGACCTGGATGAAGTGCCAGGGTTTGAGCTTTGATCTGGCTGAGCCCTAGCTTGTGGTGATTGTCCCAGTAACAGAAGATCTTTACTTATCTCTGTCACTGCGTTTTGAATAAAAATGCTTTTCTAAGTTTGTGGAAATGGAATTAGAAGAAGCTTCTTTAAGTGTGGTGCTCAGATAATAGAAGGAAATGAGAATGACAGAGAATTGAACGATTGCTCAGAAAGCTGCCCTCTGAATGTATAATTTGAAAATCCCTTTTCCCTAATGGAAAAATTGGAAAAAGAATTCTTCCTCAGTCTCTCCAAATGAGATGATGCCATGACGCAAGCATGGCACAGTGCCCAGGCTTGGCATGGCTGTGAAGCAGGGTGATCCACAAAGGTTGGTGAGCCACCCTCTGCCCTCCCAGTCTCAGGTAATGAAGAGTTGGAGGAGAATAGTGGTAATGGTGTGGCTATTTCCTGGCTCTGGTTTGAATATTTTGGTGTCAAAGAGTCCTTTAACTTCTGATTTTGGAAATAGATGAGTCAAGAGTGAAAGGTGTTATAAGCCAGAGTTCTAGAGGGAGAGGAATTAACAACCAATGGAACAGAAGCTAGTAAGTTGTGTTTTTGTTTTGTTTTGTTTTGTTTTTTTTGTATTTCATGCAGCCAAGCCATTAGTGACAGAAACAGAGAAAGTTTAGAAGAGTGGATGATAAAAAGGACAAACAGAATAAGAATTGCCCACCAGAAAATGATCACTTTCTTTAAAAATTTATTTTATTTGTTTGAAAGGCAGAGTCAGAGAAGGAAGTAGAGAAACAGAAATCTTTCATCCATTTGTTCACTCCCCAACAGCCCAGGCAGACCCAGACAAAAGACAGGACCCAGGACCCAACAGCTTCTTCTAGGTCTCCCATATAGTTGCAGGGGCTAAAGGACTTGGACCATCCTCCACTGCTTTCCCAGGTACATTAGCAAGGAGCTGGATCAGGAGCAGAGCAGCCAGTACTGAAGCTGGCACCCATATGGGATATCTGTGTTGCAGTTAGTGGCTTTATCTGAAACACCAAAGCATCCGCCCCAAGATGATCACTTCTAAGATGATTTCTGTGAAGTGGATAGTGCAGAAGTAGCATTTTTCATTTTAAGTCTCAACTCTAATTATATACCCATTTTAGACCTTATGCTGTTTCTTTCTCATGGTCAATTTAGCCCAGAATTTCTTAGCCTCACTTCAGAAGTTTTTCCTGAACAGACCCAGACTGTTTTCCCTGCTTAACCTCCTCTAATAAAAAAATTAATTATTAGTTTCTTTGGAAGGTACAGTTACAGAGGAAAGTAGAGAGAGATCCTCCATCTATTGCTACATTCCCCAGTTGGCCACAGTAGCCAGCAGGGGTGGGGCCTGCCTGAAGTCAGGAGCATGGAACTACATCCCAGTCTCACAAGGGGGTGACAAGGACTCGAAGTTTTTGGACCATCTGCTGCTGCCTTCTCAGGTTTACTAACAGGGGGCTGGATGGGAAGTAGAGCAGTTGGAACTTGAGCCAGCACTCAATGGGATGCTGGTATCAAAGGCCGTGGCTTAACCAGCTGTGCCACAACACTGGTCTGGTCAATTCTTTTTACAAGGCAGTCTCAGTTAGACTTACTCTTTCTTAACAAGAACTTGCCTTTGCTTATGTTATTCACTACACCTCAAATAATTTCCCTCTCAACTGTATCCATTCATCAAAGTATAATTTACAGTCATTGAAGTCTAAAATTAGGGACCATTGCTGTGGCATGGCACATAAAACTGCCTCCCACAGTGCCAGCATCCTGTATGAGTGCTGGTTCATATCCTGGCTGCTCCACTTCTTTTTTTTTTTTTTTATAATTTATTTTTTGTTTTACATTTGGCTGCTCTACTTCTAACCCAGTTCCCTGCTTTTGGCCTAGGAAAGCAGCAGAAGATGGCTTAAGTCCTTGGGCTCTCGCACTCATGCAGGAAACCCAGAAAGAAGCTCCTGGCTCCTGGCTTCAGATCAACTCAGCTTCAGCCATTGCAGCCATTTGAGGAGTGAACCAGTAGATGGAAGATCTTCTGTCTCTCCTCTTCTCTCTGTAATATCTGCCTTTCAAGTAGAAATAAATATATCAGGCCCAGTGTGGTGGCCTAGCAGCTAAAGTCCTCTCCTTGAGCATGCCAGGATCCCGTATGGGTACCAGTTCTGATCCTGGCAGCCCGGCTTCCTATCTAGCTCCCTGCCTGGGAAAGTAGTTGAGGATGGCCCAAAGTCTTGGGA